GTTATGTTGGTAAAAGTGTACAGCCACTAACTAATATCAGCTTAACGGTCGGAGTCGGACGGTTAACACCGGTCTCTTCGCTGACGCCACGCGTGCTCCGTGCGGATCCGAAATTACGGCGTATTCTCGCGGTGAGAGAAGATTGCCGTTAGGTTCGTAACCCCCGTGCATCTGCCGACGGTTCAAGCCGCCCGAATCGTTGGCCTGTGCTCACTTCACTTCAACCGGGCCCTGGATTGCTTCTGAGCGGGACGGAAATTATTTGATTTTTGTGACATTATCGAGTTGATTTATGAGTACGTTCATTAAGCTGCCATTGATTTAACTAACACCTAGATATGCTTTCCGGCTTTTCTGTAACACCCGAAATAATGTAATGTAGCTTTTTAAAAGAATTCAATAGAGGTCGAGTTTTAATTGAATTAACCTTCAAATACATCACGATCCATACCTACTGCAATAAGCATACATCATAACTCACCACCATCAATGGGAATTTTCACACCACCACCCTTGTTAAAGTGTTTTCACTAAGACCTTGTAAAATATGTAAGACACGACCGAGAAGAACGTTTTTGGAGATGATTCATATTGTGTCCTGAGTTCTCTGTAAAACTACTCCCGCGATTGCATAACTTTTCTGTAAAATTATGATGGAAACTGGAGACAGGAAATTCACACAATATCACAACTCTGCGTGTGCGTGCGTTATACATGGCATGCTCCTGTTTTTCCAAGTAGACCCCTAAAGTAATAGTTGTAATGAGACACATATGTATATAAGACTGATGTTTGGAAACCGCGCGATCATTATTTACTTTTGTATGAGAGTGTGAAGTTGTTACTCAGCAACTGAACAGCCAGCCGGCTGCTTGTGTTTGTTGCAAGTAAACAGTGCGTGACACTCCAGTCACGTTTTGATTAACGTTATACGGCATTCGTGACAAAGTACATCGGAACGTGGTGTAAATCCGGTCCTGTATCCATAGCGGGACAAAGAAAGAGTCACCATTTGATTTTGATCATGTGCATTTCAGCGATAATTATCACTGATTGTTCGCTTGAAACGAGATGACGTCACAATGCTTATTTGTTGTAAACAATACTTTTTCATGGCGCTTTAAAAATGTAACTATGCATTTTCTGAACAATTTGCTGACTGTGAATTTCTGTGAAGGGTTAACATTTCATACTTTTATTTATATTCATTACAACTCTTAAATTGACACCAGGTAATATGTAGAATATACGACTTGCCTGTCATACTGAACCCGAGCTCTTTAATAATGGACTTAAATTCATGTGTGAAAATAAACCAATAAAGATTATTACATTTACGTATGTTGTTTAAATTTAACATTTCCTTTAAAAATACTTTTTCAAATAACAGCTAGATTATATTTAGTTTAATTGATCATAAAATATTTATCGTTCACCTATCATTGAAAATAACAGTTTCTGAAACTAGTGGCAGCTTCCTGAGTCAAGGGAGATAACAACTATAAACGTCCATTTAAAGCCAGTTAACCCCCCTTGCCTCGTGAAAGTAAACAACGCTTTTGTTAGTGCAGGGCGAGGGATTCGTAATCGAAGCATTCATAAAATCATCAAGAAATCTCATCCATAGCCCAGCCCATCTTTTGTAAAAGTAGGAGGAATCAGAGCTAATATGGTGTGAATTTCTCAAATTACTTTATATGAAATATCTGCTCAATCGAGGGTAGCTATTCGTTTGAAATTACTCACTTTCCAGATCTGTACTGTTGTGATCGGGTTGTGCTGTGGCGTATATATGCGTGTAGTACCTGTTATGTAGATATTATGTCCAGCAATCGGGATTTAGTGTTGGCTTGGTTAGATAAACACACAGGTTTTCATGGTCAAGACATGACTTGCATTACAATGGATATGTGTCCGTTAAGGTAGAAAACAAATTCTTATCCATTCATGTCCAATCGACACAATTAAAGAAAGTTACGGAAAGAGACGAGTGGTGACGAATGATACTGTCATCTCAAATGTTATACCGCTAATCATATTATTTTCGCAACATTCACGTGGGCGCTGGGAGTAGAACTTCATAACAGTATATAAAGCATAAATATAATATATAAAGTATAAGCGCTCTTTTGTTCTTCTTTAATTCGTATCTTTGAAATCCGATGACCGGTAATGAAGTGACATTTTTGTAATCTTTATATGTACATAGACTTTTTTTCTTTAATTTGTATATTTGAAATCCGATGACCGCCAAGGAAGTGATATCGTTGTAAGCTATTTATGTACGCAGACTTCAGGTGTGTTGTAGTCTAATGCAAGGCGGTAGCGACAAGACGTTAATACCTGTATCATATCACCCAAACTGAAATACAAGAGACGAGATGTTGTGTGCAGACAAAGGAGGTGGAGTGGGTGTGGTGAGATAAGAAAGAAGAGTTCAGAAGTTTGTCAATTTGACATTCTAAACCTACCTCACATCTTCCTCATTGTCTACTAATTCACAATTGTTAAAACATTTTATATGAACACAGTTCCTCACTGCATTCTATGTAATCAATGGTAGACCTACAATACAAGTCAATATCAGATTTTCAAACCACTATATATACAGTATAGAGATCACGGTCCCTGTATACAGTATATAGATCACGGTCCCTGTATACAGCAGTATAGAGATCACGTTCCCTGTATACAGTATAGAGATCACGTTCCCTGTATACAGTATAGAGATCACGGTCCCTGTATACAGTATAGAGATCACGGTCCCTGTATACAGTATAGAGATCACGGTCCCTGTATACAGTATAGAGATCACGGTCCCTGTATACAGTATAGAGATCACGGTCCCTGTATACAGTATAGAGATCACGGTCCCTGTATATAGAGATCAGTATAGAGATCACGGTCCCTGTATACAGTATAGATCATCACGTTCCCAGTATAGCATCACGGTATATACAGAGATCACGGTCCCTGTATACAGTATAGAGATCACGGTCCCTGTATATAGAGATCACGTCCCTAGAGATCACGGTCCCTGTATACAGTATAGTGATCACGGTCCCTGCATACAGTATAGAGATCACGGTCCCTGTATACAGTATCCCGGTCCCTGTATACAGTATAGAGATCACGGTCCCTGTATATATAGAGATCACGGTCCCTGTATACAGTATTGATCACGATCACGGTCCCTGTATACAGTATAGAGATCACGGTCCCTGTATACAGTATAGAGATCACGGTCCCTGTATTCAGTATAGTGATCACGGTCCCTGTATACAGTATAGTGATCACGGTCCCTGTATACAGTATAGAGATCACGGTCCCTGTATACAGTATAGAGATCACGGTCCCTGTATACAGTACAGAGATCACGGTCCCTGTATACAGTATAGAGATCACGGTCCCTGTATACAGTATAGAGATCACGGTCCCTGTATACAGTACAGAGATCACGGTCCCTGTATACAGTACAGAAATCATGGTCCCTGTATACAGTATAGAGATCACGGTCCCTGTATTCAGTATAGTGATCACGGTCCCTGTATACAGTATAGAGATCACGGTCCCTGTATACAGTATAGTGATCACGGTCCCTGTATACAGTACATAGATCACGGTCCCTGTATACAGCAGTATAGGATCACGGTCCCTGTATACAGTATAGAGATCACGGTCCCTGTATTCAGTGTAGAGATCACGGTCCCTGTATACAGTGTAAAGATCACGGTCCCTGTATACAGTATAGAGATCACGGTCCCTGTATTCAGTACAGGGATCACGGTCCCTGTATACAGTACAGAAATCACGGTCCCTGTATTCAGTATAGAGATCACGGTCCCTGTATTCAGTATAGAGATCACGGCCCCTGTATACAGTATAGAGATCACGGTCCCTGTATACAGTATAGAGATCACGGTCCCTGTATTCAGTATAGAGATCACGGTCCCTGTATACAGTGTAAAGATCACGGTCCCTGTATACAGTATAGAGATCACGGTCCCTGTATTCAGTACAGGGATCACGGTCCCTGTATACAGTACAGAAATCACGGTCCCTGTATTCAGTATAGAGATCACGGTCCCTGTATTCAGTATAGAGATCACGGCCCCTGTATACAGTATAGAGATCACGGTCCCTGTATACACGATCCCTGTATTCAGTGTAGAGATCACGGTCCCTGTATACAGTATAGAGATCACGGTCCCTGTATTCAGTACAGAGATCACGGTCCCTGTATACAGTATAGAGATCACGGTCCCTGTATACAGTATAGAGATCACGGTCCCTGTATACAGTATAGAGATCACGGTCCCTGTATACAGTACAGAGATCACGGTCCCTGTATACAGTATAGTGATCACGGTCCCTGTATACAGTATAGAGATCACGGTCCCTGTATACAGTATAGAGATCACGGTCCCTGTATACAGCAGTATAGAGATCACGGTCCCTGTATACAGTATAGAGTATCCATGTCAAGGTATAGCGTACCACCAATTACCATTGACCACCAGTGATAGATCACGTTCTTTGTTAATAGCATTATATTCATTCTCAATCCCAGACTGTATATACTTGTAAAGCATTGTAGTGTTGACTCCCATGTCCGCTCTATGCAGTATGCTGTAGTGGTCTGTGTGAGATCCCGGTCTATCAGGTCTGTGATGTTTGATATCGTAGGCACGATAAGGGAGAAACTGTATCGCTGATCAATGTGTTCTTTAGTGAAGAGATGAAACAGCGGGGTTGCTTGAAGAAATTTGATTCGCTTTGCAGAAAGAAAGTGGGAAGTGATAGAGGGTTCTGGATGCAAGGTAAGACCGACTAAAATTAGACGTGGAGCTTTGCTAGGGCAAGTCGAAATCCACAGCGAGAGAAGATAATGACTTGCTGGAAGGAATTTGTAACTGACAAACCCTCCAGTCGGTAAAACGATTTCATTGGCTTACTGCCCATTCGGCAAACATCGGTACATTCCGACAGGTATTTACTGAGTTGTACCAGAAGACAGATGATCATAACGGTGAGAGGATCTCGTCCACCCGAACGTCCGTCTGTCAGCTTGTGTTGTCCGTGTTGTGAGTGTCGCCATGGCTCAGATTGAAGGAGAATTCGGTCCTCAGGGAGATTTCTCATCCCTTGGACTGGCTGTACAGTCTCATAAAGAATATGAGTTTTCTTCGAGACAAAGTGAATGTGATATCAAGTTCAAATCAACCAAGCCTGTGAAGTTCACTCAAAAGTTGGTCAACGCCAAAGACGAGGAAAACGACCTCTCCAATTACGTCTTCAGCCAACGGTACGATGATAGTTTGCACTTTTGCCTCCATTTTCCCGAGTCGGGAGTGTACAAATTTCAAGTGTTCGCCCTTCCCGGAGACACCAAGGAGAGCTCTTTGCCCAACGTCTTCAACTACAAGATCAACGTCGAGGGCATCTGCCACGCCGTCCACTCTTTCCCTAAACAGTACGCGCAATGGAAAGACGGCTGTTCCCTCGTAGAACCAACTGTCCTTAACTCCAATTGCTCACTGACGGCGGTCAAGTTCAAGGTCAACATCCCCAATGCCAAGGCCGCCGCCGTAGTGATTAACGGATCCGATTGGAAGCATTTGGAAAAATCCGGCAGTTCCTTTACAGGAACATATGACCTTCACAAGCTGAGAAATTCTGGTGCCAAGATCACCCTGAACGCCAACTTTGATGAAGGATCAGGGTCGTATCCAACCCTCCTGGAGTACAAGCTCTAAAATGTTCATCTTTGTCATAACCTCTTCATAAGGACGTATCACAAGACGCTTCTTTATGGAACTGCTATCATACTGTTCTGTACTGTTTACATGACTCTCCACGTGGTTCTCTTGTATCGATACTTATTGGATGGCGTACTCTCAAAGATAGAACGGATTTTACCAGCAGGTAATACCTTCAGCTTAAATGGGGCTTATGTCCCATCTTTGTTAATACTGCTTAAAGGTGCGTTAAGACAGGGATATTTAAAGGGTGGGCACACGGCGTCAAGCCCTGCAAAGTGTTAAAGGCACATCCTTTATTGGTAACGTTACATAGCTTTCAAGGCCCCATTCTGAAACGTGATCTGAGCAAGTGAGTGAGTTTATTTTTACGCCGCACTCAGCAATATTCCAGTTATATGGCGCAGTTGGGATACGATGACATGTTTCCACCAAGTCAGCGAGCCTGACCATCCAATCCCTTTAGTCACCTCTTACAAGCATGGGTTACTGAAAATCAATTCTAACCCGCATCTTCAGGGGTCGATCTTAGCGCAACGACTAATGAACGCCATGAGCATTAGGGATTTCACGATTTATAAGTTTTATGAATCGATACGTATCACGATACCAATGTCACGATTCGATACGTATCACGATACCTATTTTCGCGGCATTATTGCGCAAATTTAGTTACATTTTGAACATTAATATTTCATATTTTATATTTGTTCATAAAAAGATCAACATTTTTTATTCTCAGATATCAAAAAGTTCTAATTTCCCATCTTTGTGCATGAAAAATAATCCTTTATAACTCTCATAACATCAAAAAACATGATAAAATTGCAAAATGTAAACAATGCATAAACATATTTAAACCGATAATTTCAAAACTAAATATCGATGCAGTTTTGAATGCATCGATAATTGTATCGTCTTTGAAAAAGTATCGATTCATCGATGTATCGTGGCATCCCAAATGAGCATGAGAGTTACGATCTCCACAGCGCTATGATCACTTTGGGGACGTTTGTATGTTTTCAGCATGACCACCCCTGTATGCCCCTGTTGTATTGTCTGTGTGTAAAAAAACATTAAATATTACCTCTGTTATTCCTATACTATTCTACTTCTGGTGTCCTGTGCAACTGCATGCGTATAAACAAAAAATGCCAATGATTAGATTGAGTAAGACCTAAGGATTTTGATAACGCTTAGTCAATAGGAAATCTTTAAAATCTGATTAACAGTATTGTCAGGGATCACGGCAACGATGTCTCAAGTGTATTTGGCATGTTCCTGGTTACAGCTGAAAATGTCGCGAGTGCTCAAAGTTCCTTGTGGTTGTGGTTCCATTTGTTTTATATTTGAATCCATTGCACCTTCACACACAACTTCAAATACTATAGAGGACAGTCAGGGGCGGATACAGCTTTTTGAGAAAGGGGGGTGTGGGGGTGTGCACACTATTGAGAAAAGGAGGGGTGCACACTTCATTTTCACCCGAGTTGCAATGGTCAAACTTTCAGCACAAAAGGGGGGGTGCGCACCCCTGCACCCCCCTCTAGATCCGCCTATGACAGTCTCCAAAGACCACAATTTGTGCAATTTTTCGGTGTGTTCATTATTTGAGATGATATTCATTCATTCTTATGTTCCGATAAACCATTCTCTGCTTGTATACGGAACGATGGGGTAGCCCAGTGGTTAAAGCGCTGGATCGTCATTTCTTTTGTTTTTGGATATATGGGTATTCTTTATTGCCTAATAAAAAAAAGTCGAAAGAATCTTTTAAAATCGATTAAAATCAGGACTTGCCAAAGAATTGTAGACGTGCCTGGGAGTTTTCGGATAACTTTCTTTGATGGTGTATATGAGACACGCTGGCCAGCACCAACAGTCACTTAGAATATATGAAACCCAGTATGGACATCATCGTTATTGTATTGCTGGGTTATTAATTGTAGCGATGGGCTAGTAGTGAGTGTGTACGCGTGTTTGGACAGAGGAGGGGGGACGTAGGGGGTGACTCAAACGCGTGGTATGTTAGTTTCAGGATAACAGGGCGGTAAGTGAGATTCAGAGTTCAGCTGTCCCTGACATCTCACTGTGTACGTGAGACAGCTGCTTGTTGAGGTTATCATAACGTCAAGATATTGTGATACGTGTTCCTGATGCCCAATGTGGATTCTTTAAGTAGCCATCAGATTGTCCCCGTATTGACCACAGCAAAACAGACAGCCAATCAGAATCAAAGCAAGTATGTATAAGCTCGTTTAAAAGCATCATACATGAAGAAATATAGTCTACTTAGTACCAAATTAACGTCGAGTTAAATCCTGCCGAGTAATTAGAAACACAAGTCGTTGCTGTGGATAGGAATGTTAAACCTGGGATAGTTTCTGGTTTAAATATATACTACGACTTTGTTGACACAATTTACCGTAAGTAAATAACTTTTTCCGCAGTCATCAATTACTGGGGCAACCTACCGCCCCTTTTCCCAATACCGATGTGTAAAGCGGGGCAATTAGGGCAATACCTCGCAACCTGGCGTTGTTTCAACATCCTGGAGTTTCTGCATTCCGTGATGCAAGTTTTCCCATTCCAAAATCTCCCGGAGTAGCGCAGAACGAATTCTCGTACATGTGCACGCGTAGCTATATATGGCTAGTCTGCATCTTTTTTCTGTATCGTAAGATGGCAACCAAGATAAACAGAGGCATAGGCGAAGTTGTATCATAAACACGATAAGCGGTAGCTGCTATACCATTCCCCACCCCACCCCACTACCTACACACACGCGCGCGCGCACACACACACACACACACACACACGTCACTCACACAAAAGAAACATTAAATAAATATTACATTAATTTCACTTATCATATTATCATTCACGTCGTAAATTTCAAGTTTCGAATGAATCCCCAAATTCACCAAATTAATCTAATCCGAATGCTGATTCGTGCTTATCTCCCCCTTTTAATTGGTGGCACGTATCAGCACAGGTGGGGTATGTATCTGATAACAAACACGTTCATCTGAATATTGTTCTTGTAACATGTGCGGAGTTGATGTTCACTCGCCAGCTGTCTGACATCACAGCCTTGTAATGTTGCTAGTCTCCACTGACAGATGTCCAAATATCGGCTGAGCCTGTTCATCACAAACACTGAAATTCCTCAGTCGAAATATCTTCCTTGCTGATTTTTAGGCTATTGCGGGGAGGCGAAGTGGCATAGTGAGTGAGCGTTTGCTCGTAACGTGTACCCAAAACCCCTCGTCACGCCCAAATCCCCACACCACTCCTTACCCGCATGTCAATCGTCACGCAACCATCCAGATTCCCCACGTAGGTGCAATTAAGCTATATGTCTGGCCTAGTAGTGCATGCGTTCGCTCATCACACCGATTTTCCGGGTTTAAGACAGATGCTGTGTTCCTTAACTATTCATTTCATACTATGATATCAGAGCTTTTCAGTTTACGCACATTAACAATTTAAATCCGTTCCTCGATTCCAAGAAACATCGCTACTGTCAAACAATGTATGTCTAAGTTCCTCTTTAACATTACGCGCAGTTTGATTGGTTGATGGGTGTCTGGTATCCAAGGTATTACCCCCAGCAGAGAAGTGAGTCATGTTCCGGGAGTGAAATATTCCTTACATCTGCTGCCATAGATCGTTAGATTTGGTGAAATTATCTGTTGAGAAGGCGAAACTTGAAGTTCCCTATCAGCTCGAGAATGACTGATGCAACCACGTACGTGATGAGTGGTTCAGGGACAGAGTTGATATGAAGCTGGTGCTCAGATGAAGGGTATGGCTTTGATGCACAGTGGTTGAGCACAGCGGTTCCAATACATAAATAACAGATTGTGTGTAGTACATTAGTAAGCTATATCCCCGACAGGCGATTGTCTATATAGTGAAACACTAAACGTCACTAAACGATTGTGTAGAGGACAATGGTAACCCACTTTTTGAGAAGCGATTGTGAAACAAGTTGTCGTAACTGATTATGTAGAACAGAATAACCTCCAGGTCTTGAGTTGATTGTCTAGTGTGCAGTGTTAACGTGTCTATTTCGAGAAATGATTGCGTGCAGACTGTTTGTTCATGACGTCATTGTACAGAGGCGATTGTTTGCTAGTAACCTGTTGTACAGGGGGTTGTTACCTGGAGTACAATGACTTGATATAGTGAGAGAGGCGGTTAAGTACAGTGGTAACCTTTATAGTTTAAGAGGCGAATGTGCGGAAAACAATTGTTTCGGATGACGGTTTTGTGAAGTATAATTGCAACCTATTGCGCACAAGGCGGTTATCTAAAGTACAGTAAGCTCTGTTTCGTGAGTCGGTTGAATAGAGTAGTTCGAGTAACGATTTCGCAGAATACCTGGCACCCTATTACTCGAAAGGCGATGGTGTAGAAATATGTTTGTAACTGAAGCTCGTTTTGCAATTGTGTAGACAACAATGGTGATCTACGGTAGCCTAGACGATGCAGTGTTCGTGTTCTCGCTGTTTGGGAAAAGATTTCCCAGGAATCCAAGGTTCTCGCTCTTTATGCAACTACCTCTCACCTCACTTCCCCGTTTCCACGTTCAAGCTGCTAGAGCAATTGTCGCATCCCAAAATAAACAGACCGCAATATTATCGCGACTGGAAGCACTGAACATATTCAGCACGGTGTCTCGCAGCTGTAAATGAACATTCTAACCTTTTTTACCCGTCGTTTTGCCGAATAAGGTGTGTTCCTGCAACCATACTTCCTACACAGATATCGAGGTATTAACGTCCGTCTTGTCCATACACGTGGAGTAATACGAAGGTCAAAGACCTTTTTTCTTGCAGGGGAGTTTGTTTGTTGAAGGTTAAAGAATCACATGTTCGAATCACGATCGATATGTATAATATCGATCCCAAGATTTTGTTGATTTTCGGGAATTTTTATTCTGAAACAGATGATAATTTCACCATAAAATGTTCAGATGTTGATCTATTAGAGCAACACGTGCAACGGGCTGTTTCTGGTGGGATGTTGTACCGTCATTACCTTGAGGTGAAGGGCGGGATCCTTGGGGTCGGGCAGTGGGTGCTTCTCTCACGTGCACCACGTGTTTTTCACGTCTTCCGATAACGTTCTACTTTTGAATTCTCCACACAGGGATGTCTCCTGAGTGTGCTGAGATTTAATCTGTGCGTTATTTTGGTCGTTCCTCATGGAGTTTATTGTATTAATAGCCCCACTGGATAACTCGAGAACCATTACACAGGAAAATATACGAACATTACTACCGGTTGAGAGCGCTTTCCCTGTCGATGGAATTCGGAGTGAAACCCGTCCTGTACGTCGGATGCAGGACTTGTTAAGTGGTATTACGGATGCCATTAAATATTATTCTGGTATCGGATGCCAATGTTTTTATGTAGAAAATGTTTTTCGTCTTACAAAAATGACACATCGATAAAATAGTTAGTCCAAATGTTTTCAGCACGCATTACATTTGGAAATCCCTATCTAATTTACGTGTACTAGTAGTGTGCACTGATATGAGTTAAGAGTTCTAAGTTGGACACCTAAACAAATTAAGTGGAATGCCTAGTGGTCAAAGCGTTCGCTCGTCACGCCGAAGAGCCGGGTTCGATTCCCCACATGGGTGCAATATGTCAAGCCCATTTCTGGTGTCCCCGGCCGTGATATTGCTGGAATATTGCTAAAACCGGCGTAAAACCAACTCACTCACTCACTCATGCCTTCATGGGGAAGGGTTCGAACCCTCATTTTGACTTATGAGATAATTTTGCTATTCTATTCAGTACAATGTCTCGTGTAACCAACCTGGAACTTGTATGTACAGTTGTGACAGCGATGCATCAACTGTTCAATGGGCCCCGCATTGTTGTATTTCTTGAGGCTAGTTGGTTCAAAATTGTTTAAGAACATTAAACGTGAGTTCTCAGTTGATCTAATTATATCAACATGTGATTTCTCAATGAATAGCAATAAAATTACTTTTGCAGAAATGCGCGGCCAGTTTGTATTCATGGTTTCAAATTCTATTGTCGGGACAAACGGTTCCTTAAATGAAATTATTATCGATATTGTTATCGATTTCAGGTAGTTGGTGAGGGTTTAAGGGTTTGTGTTGCTGTGTTGGGGTAGCGCTTATTATGGGTTTACGTTCATGGGGTGTGGCGTTACCGACGTCTACGGCCTCATCATCAGCTGCAAAAACATTCCTCAATACAGGGGAGGTAGACGATGATGGCGACCATCCCTTCGTATGTATGGGTAATTGAGAGGATACTCAGGGTTAAGTATTCGTAAACCACTCTTTCCCGTGGCGTCTGAGAAATATTACTGCCGGTGTACATGGCGATACCAAGCTGCAGTCTCCACATTATGATAAGTGTTGTATCAGGCTAAGTGTGTGGGCTGGCCCATTCAGCACTGATATGGAAGATACATTTGGCATTTAGAATATTCAGTATCGTCTCCATCTGTTTAAATGGTTCAAGATGAAAAGGCAAGGACTGCAACATCTTTACTGAGTATCTGGATGCATTGATATATACAATAACACCTGTATAAAGACACTGCCATTCCTGTAATCTCCCCCGGATGTCTCAACTGAACTGGAACCCTATCAATCCAGGCACCGCTTTATCCGGACGAAAACTGTTTCATGATTCGATAATACCGACATTAGATAATCCACACGCGTTTGTCTTGGGGGTAGGTGAGGTGGTAACGTTTTTGTGTTTTTGTGTGTCATCGTACCAAATGGCGCAGATGGGTGCTGATGATGTCAGTCACTGGATTGTCTGGTTCAGACTCAATTATTTACAGGCCGCGTCGTATAGCTGGAATATATATTACTACAAAACATCATGAACATCATTCAGTATTTGATTGCGTTTACGCTGGTATACTCTCACGGTATTGAAGTATATATAATAACTTGCTTCTAGTAAATGGAGTGTGCCATATATCAGTATGTATCACAATTCAATGTATGTATGTCTTGTTTCAGATCTTCAGTTGTCAGCAGTAGTTTCTCCCTTGCGCTGTGTGTGGCTCTACTCACCGTTCTGTTCACTCCATTTTCTCAGGCGGAAGGATCTCAAAAAGAACTGTTTATTTAGCATCACACAACAAATAGTCCATCGACAAGTGCCCAGCTCTTGGGGCGGAAAAACACCGAAATTCTGACGTTAAGTTGTTTTCCGTGGCTTCACCTCAAGATGGATAACAGTGGGGTCGTGGACTGTTTTTGTGTTGAGGATCCGAAATTAGACTGTCGTTATCCGTGGTGAATTAGTGACGTCATACCCAGGTTTTCTCTCGGGTGTGATATCTGTTTTGTCTGTTTCTGGCATGTTTGGATATTAATGTTGTAATTAATTACCAAATACACCAACTTTCTTTTTTTATTTCAAAGAGCTTCATGTATTATCTGTTTTTTATTATATCAATAAAGTTTTTAAAAATGCCCCTGTGTTTGCCTATCGTTGACATTTTCCAGACTGATCATATCCTATTCTGGACTGATCCAAGGATTATCGGGTTATCATACGACCCGGAAGTATATGTAGCAGGGTCCTGTAACAGCTCAGAATCACCCAACCAATGGGCGAGTCACATAACCTGAAGTTTATTTGTACTTGATGTTTGTTTTTAGTTGCCGTTTTTTGTATGTGTTTGGTGTATTCCTTGTCCTTGTTTTGTTAATGCAGTCAACTGCGGGGACAATTCCACAAAACCTTAGAAAAGACCATATTGCAAATTCATTTTGTGTCCATGACGCGCTTTTCTACATGTTTGGTAACGCTCCACAATAGAGCTACATGTATATAACGACATACTGTAATCAACACAGGGGCGTGTCACGCTAAGAAACATCGTTAGAAAGACATATAGGTATATAGACCCTACCCTAGTACTATATAAAAGGACGTGTCACGCTAAGAAACAGCGTTAGAAAGACATATAGGTATATAGACCCTACCCTAGTACTATATAAAAGGACGCTTAGAAACAGCGTTAGAAAGACATATAGGTATATAGACCCTACCCTAGTACTATATAAAAGGACCTTTTATATAGTACTAGGGTAGGGTCTATATACCTATATGTCTTTCTAACGCTGTTTCTTAGCGTGACACGCCCCTGTGGTAATCAATACATTCAAACCAGTGATTGATATTATGCTTGAGGCCCCTTGCTGTCGGCGCACCATGACACACCGGTAGCAGGTCAGAATCACCCAACCAGTGGGCGAGTCACATGACTTGGAATTAAATTGTACTTGAAGATTTTTGGTTTTTGTCAGGATTGTCTTATTATAGGTATTCCAAAAACAATTTTGACAGCCTATCAATACAATCGATACATATATATATTGCAGATTTCTTCATGCGCCTTTTCCACGTCAGCAGATATGCTCAAGGCGCAACAATGACAGATTAAAAGCGTCTCCCACATTTATACAGCAATATGTACACGTCCAAAATAGAGTTCCTAATAATACATTGAAAACAGGTATGTTTTGAGTCCTGACTTGAATGTGGCAATACTATCAGAAACTTGGATAACGCTTAACAATATATCTATATAACGACATCCTGTATAGGCCTATCAATACATTCAAACCAGTGATTGATATTATCAACGCCCCTTGGTGTCGGCGTACCATGACTCACCGTTAACCCGGACACCTCTTATGCCTCTCACAACTAGTGTCGGTTGCCGAGGACTAATCCAACCTGGACGGGGCTGTGGTGTAGCCTAGTGGTTAAAGCGTTCGCTCGTCACGCCGAAGACCCAGGTTCGATTCCCCACATGGGTACAATGTGTGAAGCCCATTTCTGGTGTCCACCGCCGTGATATTGCTGGAATATTGCTAAAAGCGGCGTTAAACTATACTCCCTCACTCTAACCTGGACATGTTCTGACCGATGGTAGCTTCCGATGACAAGCCATTATTCAGGGGTAGAAATATCCCAAGTAAAACTATTCTGACCTTCAGAGGCGAATACATTAGACTGGATTGGTGGCGTGTCATGATGTGCCCTGTATCAATTGCGGTGTTTAACAGCACACGCACGCACACCGACGTACATACTCACACAATCACAAAACGATAAGTGGACAGTACAAGTCTATGGACGCCAGTCTGTTACAGTACAACCAGTAATTATTGAGAATTTAAGATTGTAATTTCTTTATTTGTTTTCACTCATTACTCACGTATTAAATGTGAATATTAGCAGAACATAACTCCAGATTCAAAGACTGGTGAACAGTTAGTATTTTGTCAAGTCACCATGGGCAGCAATGCAGGCTTCAATGCGGCGAGGTATACTACTGATCAAAGAAGTTAGAAAGTCGTGGTCCATGCTGACCCAATATCGGACCACCTGTTGTTTCATTTCAGCAATATTTGTCAGATTTTTCTTATTGACACTTTCCTTCATAAGTCCCCAAACGTTTTCTATTGGATTTAGGTCAGGGCTATAGCTTGGCCAGGCCCGTGAATGCTTTGAACGATGTTTTGGGTCGTTGTCCTGCTGGAAAATCCAAAAATTTCCATAGAACACGTGAGCAGATGGAAGTAAATGTCCCTCGTGAATATCTGTGTACCGCTCACTGTTCATATTCCCTTCAAATACACAGAGGAGCGGTGCCCCTAACACAGATATGACACCCCACACGTTAAATTTTGGACTGTACTTTGGGCGCTGATACAAAGTTTTTTCAGTTTGTTTGGTCTAGAATTTCAGTGTATTAGGAAACAGCTACACAGAACTTTCATCTGAGAAAATTACATTGTCCCAGTTAAAATGTCTATGCTGTAAGCACCAGTTCAACCTTCGCTCCTTTTGTTCAGGTTTCATGATCGGTGATGGAATTCCTCGACTTTTCTGCCAACCCATTGCATGCAGCTCAGTTCTAATTGTCTCCTAACAGACAGCCACAGTTCCTCTATCAATCATATCCAGCCTTAAGTTTTCTAAACTCCTTCGTTTCTTCTTAGAAAACAAGAATACCAAGCCGCCTCCTGTCACCGACAGTCAATTTTCTGGGCCTACCTGCGCCTCCCTGGTGCTCAATGCCATATCCATTTGCAATATTTTTCAAAACACGATAAACAGTGGACAAAGGGATGCCTGTTCTACTTGAAATCACTTTAGCTGATCTGATGTCCTTGTTATATTTCTCTAAAATCAACTTCCTCTTCTCTAAATCATCCATACTGAGGATCACTGAAAATGTCGTCTGCTTGCAAGTAAACAAAGGGGGATAACTCTTCACAAACTAATGAAAAAGGATTAACGGAGTTGTCTCTCTTGAATGAAACCAAGCACTTGCTAGCTGGTCAAGGTTGTTTATACTAGAAATCCAATTAAGCATATTCCTAAAATTCTCAATAATTTCTGGTCATACTATATTTAGATTTTTAAGAAAGTTTAATTTAAACTATTAATTATTACCTTAGAGACTTGTGCAAGTCTAGGGTACAACGCGTGAAGCCGATTTCTGGTGTCCCACGCTATGATATTGCTGGGGAAATGCTAAAGTGACATAAAACCCAACTCATTCCCATACATATAAAACCAATCAACCACTCACTTAACCACTCACTCAACCACTCGCCCACCAACCCACCACACTATTGCCTATATCTGTGCTTACAGCTGCGTCTCCCTGCGGTACTTGTCACGTAGTAGTGTTTTGTCAGAATGTGTTGCTCGGGCCGCATATCATCTAATTACAAGTAAACAGAAGTAGGTGCGATATATCAGCACCCTCATGATTAGTTTACTGCCCTGGAATTACATCCTAATTACCAGCATATAGAACTGACATGATGGCGTCATGGCTACGGTCGTAACGGAGATAGCCAGGGATACTGAATGATGACTGCATGTTAATGGAATGTGTATATTAAAACTCAAGATGAACGTTGACCTCATCTAATCGTATACACAACTACTGAGAAGTAACCCTGACTTGACGTGGTTTTATGAAACACTGTGGGAGTGCATGTTGTCTGGTGCCGCACGCCTGGACAACTGTTATTTACAGGTGCCCGTTACCACATTCAGTATCATTTCAGCTGTGTGCCTGAACTGATATATATTTACACTCGGTTCATTAGCAACGACATTAAAGGTACAAATCAAGTACTAATTACATGTATCCCAAAAAACATTTATGTACACGTAAACAATATTACATATAATTCCCTAGCAGTCGTTAAAGGTTAAAAACAAAGATTATGGAAATTTGTACAAAAAGAAAATTAAATGTTTATTCCATGTGTGAGCTTTACCATCTATATTTTAGAGGGTAAGTATGATTTTACGCCCCCTTTCTGAAGAATTAGGAACTCTACTCTCTTACTGTTTACTAATATGAAACCATTGATCACAAACACTGCTATTAGATTTAGACCTAATGATTGTATCTATTTCCGTTGAGCGGATTCGAACCCAGGTATTCGGCGTGAGGAACAAACCAGGTGTATTAACCTCCCCAATTCCTCTGAAAGGGTTAGGTCGATTTGTGTTAGTGGCAAAAGCACACAGAATGTACCTTAAAAACGAAGATGAATGCACTTCATAGATAACATCAAATCGACTTTTCCACTGATATTGTAGCTCTGTCAACAGTCGACCCGTGCAGGTCCGGGTTAGAATATTGATCTTCAGTAACCCATGCTTGTCGTAAGAGGCGACTAACGGGATCGGGTGGTCAGGCTCGCTCACTTGGTTGACACATGTCATCGGTTTCCCAATTGCGCAGATCGATGCTCATGCTGTTGATCATTGAATTGTCTGGTCCAGACTCGATTATTTACAGACCGCCGCCATATAGCTGGAATATTGCTGAGTGCGGCGTAAAACTCAACTCACTCACTGTCAACAGTCGGACCCCTTGTCTCGAGATTCGTTATTTCGAATGTATGGAGATATGGAGCCTTTTCTCCGGGCCCGACCTCCTCACCATGTATACGTATATACATGCACGTAAATGTAACTGCTTAACTCGATTTCGAGATAAACATACACAGAGCCATCTGGAACACTGAACTCTGTGCCAAATGTTAGTTTACGGATATAGCGTTTGTCATATCAACAGTTTTGAGAAGTGCAAATACGCATTTCACATAGCGATGTTCTAAAAATCACGTGTAAGAAATCTTATTGCTATGGACATCTATGACTGTTATTGTTCTGTCCTGATCCTCGCTACCTCGAATGTCCGGATATATCGAAGTTTCCACATATTTGCGATATGTTCGAGACGTCGGCGTTCGACCTCAAATTTGGTGGTTTGACTAGATGTTACTGTATTACCATTTTTCAAATCTGCACAACACTAATTCCCAGGGGTTTCTCAATCTTCATTTTAAGGCATTCATCAATTAGAACGCCTCATTATCCACTTCAAGATAGCCTCATTAACTTCATCCGGATCGGCCAATTA